CGTTGTGTAGGCCAGGTCTACCGCGTAGTCAGCGTAGTCAGTTGAATAGCAAGATAGCAAAAGTATCCCCGCGTAGTCTCTGGCCCTCCATGTTAGTATAAAGAATCTTATTTTAAAAAAAAACAATGCTCAGTTGTACTTGTACGAGGATTGTGGATCCTGTGACTGGCACGTGCAGAGTGATGCTTGCGACGACTTGGTCTTTTACTTTCGTTTTGGGCTGCTGTTGTCGTTGATGCTGTTACGTAGAAGGATTGTGGAAGCCCAGTGATGGCTTTTGAACCCTCCAGGCCAGTTGAATCCGAAAAACAGCTTGCAGTAGATGCAGCACAAGAGATTGATGGGAGCAATCAGGCCTAGCGAGGCCTCATCTAAAGTCTTCTCCGTCAGCAGTTTGTGTGCAAGAGTGACATTTGCATAGACCCCAGAGCTCGAGCATTGGTAAAGAGAAGTGCTTGCAAGGGGTGTTCAAAGCGGCTATGAACAAACTCAGACAAAGATCATCCAGGATATCTCGTTGTGCCTGAATCTGTGAAGTCCCATATTATGGTCTCGTTCGTGCTGTTGTCACGTGACAACAGAGCGGCTCCTGTTAGCCTGCTGTCCTTTTCATAGTGATTCCTCTTCAGAGTGGGTATTGTTATCCTTCTAAGGCCGGAATTCCTGGTGGGGGCTCGAAGGAGGAGGACTACGGCGAGCACCTTCCCCAGTTAAGGTCATTGGGTCATAGTACTTCAGTCACAAGAGGGTCGCCTGCGCTTGATCCCCGACTTCTACATCAGAGGGTACTCTACGTAAGCATGTGACAGCCAACTAAGGGTGGAGGACACTCGTGCCCGTCAAAAACCAGATGAGCCAAACCAGCACATGCACCAGCGCCACACAATTCTTGACACCACCATCGCGGCGCCATCATTACCAGCAACGTCATCATGGGCAACGCTCTGCCGATTTGACAGTACATGGCATCCATCTTTGCGTTTCACATGCTTGCACATTTACCATACTGCTTTGTGTATCTCTTTGCTGCATGCCACAATGCCTTGTTAGTTATTCATGACGGTTGGCACTACTGCAGTGAAGCGCTAAGACGCTGGCTACATCCCGTGTCCTTCATCTGCCACGATGGCATGAATCTGCACACATATCGTAGTTGTCGTTTACCTTTGCCTTCTAACGTTCTGAGTGTTCCTGCAGGATCATGCTTATTCAGCTACTTAGCAGAAAGCACATGCTCAATGCATGCATACCAGGCATATTTCCGATAATGAGTTCCTACCATCCTTTGTTTTACGCCCCCCAAAACTTAACCCGAAACCCCTAAACCAAAAATCTAAGCCCTAGAAATCCCCACGCCCTAAACATCCTCAAGCCTCATCAAGCCCTGAACTCCCATCGCAAACTTCGGGGGGCTTCCGAGGTCTGAAGCGGAGGTCCGCGCTGCTGTGGAAGCATCTTTGGAAGCGGCGAGGAACAGCCAGGACTCTGCAGTGACTTTGGCCTTCAGCGGTCCCAGAGTTATCCAGGCTTTGCGGCTTAGGCCCGTGGGGCCAGGGGTTTGGCACGAGGCTCACAATAATCTGGAAATGACCGGGGATCTTCTCGGCTTGAGACCTGGGACGTCCTGGGACGTGACTGCAAAAAGGGCGAAGCTTGCAGGTCCCACGTTGTATGCCACATCACATCCGCCTCTTTAGCATGCTCAAGAATCCAGATGCTTCACAGCCTGGAGGAAGTCATGCTTCCTTCCGGCTGGGAGCTACAGACGACGTGCTCGTCTCAGTTGTCTTCAGTGCCCTCGTACTGCAACCCTGGCCATAGATGAATTTGTTCAGGCCCGATGGCCAAGAGTTCTACGTCAACCTGCGCTCTAACATCACCCAGTGGGAAGTACCTGCCTCGGGCGCAAGTCATCCCATGCAGGTTGGATCCAAAAAGATGAAGCTGCAGGTCAGGGCTGTGTTAGAAATAGCTCCCTACCAACTTCACACGGAAGACACAGAATAGCTGAAGCTGCTTGACATTTGCCACAATCTGGGCCATTCCGCTGGCAGCGCAATGAAAACCGTGGCAAGAAGCGTGTTCGCACCTGTTGCGTACCCAGCCAGGTGCCACAGCTGCCGCCTCATTGGGAAGAGCGCTTCTCGAGGGAGGGCAAGGCAGGTCGGTGATGGCGTGTTCTATTGGAGAGACATTCGCTTTCCCGGAAGCGTCCATCAAGTTGATGGGTTACACATCTGCCACCCAGAGACCACGGCCGCGCGATGCCATGCTGTTTGGTTTGAGGGTTCGAGGGGCTTGACCTTGAACCTGCTAGCTTTGAGCCATAGCATCATCAGTTGGAACATCCAAAAGCCCACCACATTTCCTGGACTATCACATGACAGTGGCCACACTGGACATTTCCCAACCCAACAGCAACAACAAGTGTCCAGCTCGTTGGGGTTGAAACCCGAACACCGTACAGAGGAACCCGAAGTTAAGACCGGCATCTGCCACTCATGCGAAATACAGACTTCTGCTTCCTCGCCTTGAACATATACTATAATATGGGAGACATACGCCATGGTGCAAAAACAAATCCATGTGTGTGGACATATACATATACGTATACATACCATCCACGCCTTTGAGAGCCATGTCGGCGCAGCTCCAAGATGCCGAAGCGGAGGTGCCATCATCCTTGCAGATATGCTGCGTAGGTTGGCAGGCTTGAAAGCTTGAAAATGCTTCTCTTCAACACCGGGAACTCGCGCAGACAAGCATGATTTCATTGAATGCGTCGAATGCGCAACGTCGCAATCCCACACCAGGACAAAATGTGAGCTGGCAAGGACATCTAGGGAGGCCTATCCACGTTTTAGTTTGATTGGCAATCTGGGGCTCTGGACAGGCTCTGCAAAGCGCGCCTGTACCAGGGCAGTTTGGTTCCATCTTGCTCTGGTAAGTTATTTGGCTACACCAGTCGTGCCACGGCCTGCGATGAAGCCAGAAAAGCGACAGGCGAAGCCTCGGCTAAACGCCAAGACCCTGTTTGTGCTTGGGGCCATGAATCTCATAGATGCCTGGCAGCATTCATCCTCTGGTGGGATTGCCCTCACCTCCGCAAAGCAACACAGCCTGGCGTAGGGCATAGTCAGTCAAGCTAATCTGTGCTGGAGGACTGCATCAATGTGAACCTCCTCACCCCTTACGTGGATAAAATGGTGTCCACGTTCCTGGGGAAGAGCCCACAGAGTCCTGAAGTGGCCCACACGGCCGCTGGTCAGCTAACCAATCAAGGGTCTGGAGGGTAGGGCAAAGAGCTTTGAGCAACTTGCGGTGAAAATTGGGGTGGTCAACAACTATCATCATCTTGATTCGGGAGGAGTCTTGCAGAGGCTTACCGTACCAGATGTGACGGATTTCTTGGATTCGTAGACTGGATGTTCAAGAATCGCCCACACGCATATCAGAGTCCTTTAGCAGGAGTGTTGATTATAGATTTTCTGTCCGATAAGCATCCGAGTTACGAATTTGTAGCGGATAAGGGCTTGGAGAGTCTTCATTCATGTTGTTGTCCAGCATAATGGTTTCCATTTTCTTTTCCATTATCCCTACGTAGCCCAAATATACTACAGTAAATTGTAGTTTCCATTGCCTTTTCCATGAACCTTATATACCCCCAATATACAAGAACGCCGATTGCACCTGGAACTGGCTACCTGAACGCCCAAAGTTCGTAAACAAATAACCCAAAAGACCTACAACAAGCCCAAAAGACTTAAATGTAGCACAATAGGCAAAATTTCTACATACTTTTGGGGTTCAGGTAGACAGCTTCTGGCCAAGGTTGGTCTGCTCATCGGACTCTATTCGCTCTTTGAGGCCAGGCCAGCTGAATCAGATTTCAGGGATGTCTACTTAATATGCCTAATATTACTATGATTACTATTATTGTTACTATTTTTTATTGTTATCACTATGATTCCTAATATTACGAATATTACTATTATTGTTATTATTTTTTATTTTTCGTTATTATCACTATCATTACTAATTTTACGAGTAGTACTATTATTACTCGTACTTCTACTCCACACTGCTTGGTGGCCAGGTGATTTGCTCTCCGTTCTGGGGCATGTTTGCAGACTTTGCGGGCAGGAAGCGAGCTCCTCAGGTGCCCAATTCCTCAATGACTGGGTTGCTGTTAAG